GATTCACTTCATTCCATCCATGCATCTCCATTCTTTGTACCTGGCTAGATACTCAGGCTGTAAAGGGAATAGGTGAGTCTGTATCTTCAAAAAGTGAGCTGGTTGGAGAGAGTGATGAGTCACAAATAATCACAGTGTAATGCCTGGGTGAGCCAGAGCAGGCAGTGATTAACTCTGCCTGGAGGTGAAGGAGCTGGAGGAGTTCCAGGAGAAGGCAGCAGTGAAAGGATCAATCAACTAGTAGCCAAAGGGTGTGGGGGGAAGGGCATTTCAGATCAGTGAGGTTCTCAGGCAGAATGGAAGATTTTGGGTTGTACCCTGAAAGTGTGAGGAGCTTTTTTTTTTTTTTTTTTTAGTAAACATAGTTTACCACGAAAATAAAAGGAATCAGGACAAAAATATACTAAATTTCTTTTAAGCCTGCTGGGTGGTTTTTTGAAGTATCCCCAGAATGCCTGTAGGCCTGGAGCCTGCATAGTGGTCCTGGATAAAGTTCCATAAGGGCAGGGTCTCAGCCAAGGTTATCATTTTAGTTATAGTACCTGCCACTTAATAGCTAGCTATAACTCTTGAATGAATGACTGAGTACATGAATGCAGCATCAAATGAAGTTCCTGAAGAATTTTTGTTTAAAGATAGATTGTTTTATATTTATTGCCATTGCTTGCTTTTTGGTAGAAATTTTTAAAATGGATTTTTGGTTTTTTACCATGTTTTTCATTTTGGTTTGGAGAAGAACATGCTTGGAGGAAGAGTCTTTCATGAAATACAACTGTATGAAATTTAAAATAACATATTATTTTGGGCATTACCTTAGCATAGTGTGGTTATAGCAGGCAATGTAGTTTATAGAAAAATTTGTGGAAGGAAAATAACCATTGACTTAGGAATTAGATGAACATTAACAGTAGAACTGTGGTCCAGCTTGTGAAATGATAATCCTGGTGCCAATAAAAATCAACATGTTGAAGTAATATACTCTAAGAAAATAGCTCCCACCCTTTTTCAAGTCATGGCACATATAATAAAGTATTATACAAGAATATTCGAGGCCCTCAGGAAAGGTTTGATACTAAGATCTGATACCTCCCAAATTTAATATTAAAATCTTTTGAAAGGCAACAGTTAAGCTGGGATATAACTAAATTATGACAATGATATCATAAGAGGCTGATGCTCTGCATAGAGACAAGCAAAGAAAGGAATCTGTCAGTTTGTCCAGTGCTGATGAAGTGGCTTTCATGAGTGTTCTGGCCACTAGGACAAGGGCATTGTAGCAGTGGAGAGCCAGCCAGTACCACTGGGAAGCCCCTGTGAACACTTTAAAACATTTATCTTTTTTGAAAAAAGATCAAAACCTACGCAGGAAGAAGAAACTATTAGTATCAGGTATCACAGCACTAAAAATAATTATGCTATGTCTGGTTTTAATATAAACATAGAACTTTTAATTATTTTTTAAAATTAATTATCCCATACCTGTGGGTGGTGCCTAGCACAGCGAGTTCCATGATAATGCAGGTTTAGAACTAGTGCCTTGTGGTAAAAGACCCAGGCTCTCCAAGCCCTACAGCAGCATGGATGGCACGACTCTTAGGGCCTGTCTGTCTGTGCTGAAGCCAGCTTCTGATGACTGAATTGGCTTCCAGACGCTTTGGAATGGAGAGTAGAGTGCAGGGTGGAGGTGTTGCCCTGGTGTGATTGTTCCAGTAATTGGAACTGTGCATTTCCCATTACATCTGATTTGTTGGCATTCTGGGTTTTGTGTGTTTAAATGGCATGAGTCGGTTTCTGAGAGTCCTGACTGTATTTATTTATTTATTTATTTATTTATTTATTTATTTTCCTTGTGTCTGACTGCTTTTAAATGAACTAACAGTGTCTGATTTGGGAGGTAAAGTTGGCACTCCCTAAACCATAGGGCTCTTTCCATATACAGCAGTTTCTTACATAATTGTTTTTAACTTGAAAATTTTTAAATAATTCTAACAGTCACCTAGTGTCACCCAGCTAATAAGTACCTTCATCTTTCATATTAATTAACATAGCTTTACAGCTGAATAGCGGAGACCATGTTTCAGATTTAATCAACAACTTGCAGTCTAAATGCTGATCATCTTTGCCAGATATTTTAAAATAGGAGCTACTCTGGGCAGGCAAATATCTGGTAATATCAAACTCAACCAGTTTGTAATTCTTGCCCCTCTTAGGGGCTCCATGGCAAGCACAGAAGGTTTTATTTAGTAGTCCAGTATGTATATTTCTTGATTCAACTGCCCCAGTATAGTAGGAATTTGGCGTGAGTTAGAGAAGTCCTGAACTTATGGAAGAGGTGGGACCTTAGACTCGGTAAGGCGGAGGATTTAGACACAGGTCTAGAAGAACAGGGGAAGGCATTTGTTCACCTGTGTGTGGGAAGAGCAGAGGCTGAGTAAATGTGCAAAAGTGGTGACGGGGCTGAGAGATGAGCATGACTGTACAAAATGCATAGATTCATATGGTTTGTTCTTGTCCTGTGTGTTCAGAGAGGAGTTGGAGTGGTGTGTGATAAATGTCACACTGGATGTGTGGGCTCTTCTGCTGAGACATCTCTTCACTCCTGTCAGTAGCCATGAGTGGCTGGTAAAACTGGCTGGAAGGGCATCTTCCTCTTTTCTCTGGGTTCCATTTGGATTTTCTCTAAGGGTAGAACTCACTTGAGAAAGATCAACTTCAATAGAAGAGATTAAGTTCCAATAGCACTCTTTAAGGTTTTATTTTTAACCAAAGTGGGTTTAGAGGGAGCTAAAATTAATCATGTTTTAAGTGTTTTATTCATCAGTCAGCTCATTAGGCAAGGGGCTTTGGTTCCTGCCCTGGAGGAGCCCCATCGTCTACCTGGAGAAATGCAATTACAATGTCAGTAATGGAGTCTTGCCCAGCATGCCAGGGCAAGCACAAAGGAGGATTAGCTAATTCAGTTTAGGGGTGTCAGGGTTGGAAAGGCTTCACACAGGAGTTAAATCTAAGCAGATTCTTGCAGATTGAGTTGGAGTTAGGCAGCTGAGGAGAGGACGTGTACCAAGAAATGGGGAAGCATGTGTATAGTCACATTTGCAGAGCACATGGCATGATTGGAGTGTAAGGAGTTTGGTCCAGAGGGAGCTCAGGATGGCTAAAGGGAGCTGAGGCCAGAGAGGTGTACGCAGGGGCTATTTCATGATGTGTCTCATAGGCCATGCTGTGGGGTTGGGTTTTGTCGTGAAGGCACTATGGAGCTGTCAGAGAGTTTTCAGCAGTGCTGTTCTGTGTTCACTGTGGCTACAGTAAGGATGATGGGCTGAAGAGGACAAAGCCCGAGTTGGAGAGGCAAGAAGTGTTGAGAGCCTGATCTTGAGCAGGAGATGGGGAAAATTAAAAAGGCGGGTACAAAAGCACTTGGTGGCCCCTTGAGGTTGCAGAGGAGGAAGTTCTGACAGTGAGTGGATGGTGCTGCCATACCTTGAGGTGTGGAATGGAAAATAAATCGGCTTGGTGGTGAAGACAATGAGTTCATTTAGGTAATAGAGTGACTTTGTTTGTGGGCCATCCAAGTAAAGATGTCTGGAGGCTCTTAGTGAAGTCTGGAGCTCAGAAAGATGTAGGCCAGATGTTGGTGTAAATGGGAAAAGATTTGAATGCTGTAGTACTAGGTTGATTTAACCTCGGAAGTATTTTCTCAAAGCACCTGTTACTTTCTACGCCTCTCCCATCACCTTGGTTCAAGCTACTGTTGCCTTCTAACTGGTCTGCCTACTTTCATATCAGTCCATTCTTACACAGCTGGCAGAAGTGATCTTTTAAAAACGAGTTGGAAATTTGACATTTCCCTACTGAAAACTCATCATCACTGACTTCCCATTGTATTTAGAATAGATTCAAATTTCTTAAAATGGTTCCAGGCCCTACATAACCTCGTCCCAGCCTGCCTTTCTGCCTCTCCACACACACATCTTGAATCACACTTCTCCCTCATTTAATCATCTGTAGCTGCACTGGCTTCTTCAAGGTCACACATAGACTTCTCTTCTGTCTGACTGTAGGCCTAGTTCTTTCTCTTTTCCCATGCTGCTCTCTGCTTAGGTTATCCTTGTTCTGGTTAAACTCCTTATCTTTCAGGTTTTACCTCAATGCTTTTCAGAGCCTTCCCTGACCTCCTGAGCTATTAGAGCAGTCCTGCATTTTTCTTATCTAGCACTTAACACACTTTGTTATTAGTTCCTTGAGTGTTTGTTTAATATCTATCTCCATACAAGTTCTGTGAGGGCAAAGTCCATCCTCATTATACTTTTATCATTATACCCCCAGTGTCAGACAGTCCTAAGCATTCGCCAGATTTGTTGAATGAATAAGGGTCATAAATTATTCTGGAAATTTTTACACTGTCACAGGATAAATAGGACTGTGATTGAAGCTTTATAACAACCGATTTCATCAGCTCTTGACTGTCTATTACATTTTTAACTCTCATTAAATACTCTGCTTCTGGGAGGTTGGGACAGTAAAACTTCAAATCATATGTTAGGAGTATTTTTCCTCCCTGTTGCCTGCATTCATTATGATGACTCTGGCCTTAGCCGGCTCGGTGGAAGAGCATTGGCCTCCAGACCAAAGGTTCCCAGGTTCTATTCCGGTCAAGGGCACATACTGTGTATCTTGATTGCAGGCTCCTCCCTGGCCTGGGCCTAGGGCCTGTGCAGGAGGTAACCAATTGATGTGTTTCTCTCTGTCTTTCCCTCTCTCTTCCACTCTCCCTAAAAATCAATGGAAAAATACCCTCAGGTGGGGATTAACAAAAACAAAACATTGTGGTGACTCTGGTTAGGGTGGCCTTGACCCATTGTCAGTCTGACAGTCTGCTGTTGAGTTTTGAAATTAGAAAAACTGTCAATTGTTCCCTTAAATTGGGCAGAATTTAATAGCCGCCTTTTCCTTCAGCCCTGGTTTGGGAAGGGTCCCAATACATGCTGTTTGCATTGCAGCTGTGGGAAAGTCCACCTTTGTGAAGTTACTCACGAAAAGGTACCCAGAGTGGCACGTAGCTACAGAACCTGTAGCATCATGGCAGAATGTCCAGGCAGCTGGCCCGCAAAAAGTAAGTTTTCAGTTGTGCGTAGTTGGCAGGTATGGGTGAGTAAACTAATCATAATAATCTAATTTGCTCTACGTAGCCGAAGTAGCCCAGTTTGAGTTTCTTTTTAAAAATATCTTCCTTTCAGAAAGCAGACCATGTATACCAGAGAGGATATGACTTGTTTGAATATGTTTAGCTTTGATTTTTTGTGGTTTTTACATGTCTGCATAAGTGACTGCTTCTGTTCTGTGTGGTTTCCCAAAGCATGTCCAGCTATTTTGAAGATTAATTTTGTCATTCCTACCCTTAAATATATTACTGAAGCTGTCCAACAGGATAAATAGTTAATTGTAGTGATTTTAACTTAATTATGAAGTCTTAAAAATTGGAAAGGACCTTAGAGAGGTCCTTGGTACGCAAAGTGGTTCACACTTTGAATCAATGCAGATATAACTAACATTTATAAATCACATACTGTGTACCAGGCGCTATAGTATGTTATGCCATGCACTGTACATTTCATGTATGCCTCGTGGCTTAGGCACTTGTATTAGGTCTACTGCTTTCAGAAAAGCTATAACACTGGTTTCAACACCAGCCATGTCAGTGTGAGTAAGGAAATAACAGTTTGGACATGAACCTTAGAGGCACCCAGGGCGTGGAGCACCATGCGTCAGTTGCCACACACTCCTGCAGCCAATGGGAACATTCACTGAGTGGCTCATTCTGGTGTTTAACAATTGTTAGAAAGTTCTTATATGAACCACTTTGCATACATGTGACTCTGAGTCATTGGTTCAAGTTCTGTCCCGTTAAGTCCTTTTAACTTTTCTACTTGACAACCCTTCATATAGTTGAAGGCAATGATTTGTCTGCTCTTTCTCCCCTTCAATTCTTGTCTCTTTCAAGCCAAACACCATTTTCTTTCAGACTATTCCTCATTCTGAAGTAACTTTGTCTAGGTGATGAGCTACAGTTTGTTAGTTTTCCACCTAGAATTTACTAACAGTAATACTCAGAACTCAACAGGACATTCTGAATATAGTCTAAATCAGTGGTTCTCAACCTTCCTAATGCCACGACCCTTTAAAACAGTTCCTCATGTTGTGGTGACCCCCAACCATAGAATTATTTTTGTTGCTACTTCATAACTGTCATTTTGCTACTGTTATGAATTGTAATGTAAATGTCTGTTTTCCGATGGTCTTAGGCGACCCTGCTAGCGGTTCTCAACCTGTGGGTCTTGGATTAGACTTAATAACTTGCTTCTAATGACTAGACTGTAGCATGAATAACAGAGTATGATTTCTGCAGTAGGCCATAGAGACATTGTATCTTTTTTTTTTTTAATATATTTTATTGATTTTGTACAGAGAGGAAGGGAGAGAGATAGAGAGTTAGAAACATCGGTGAGAGAGAGTCATCGATCAGCTGCCTCTTGCACACCCCCCACTGGGGATGTGCCCGCAACCAAGGTACATGCCCTTGACTGGAATCGAACTTGGGACTTTTCAGTCCCCAAGCCGACGCTCTGTCCATTGAGCCAAACCGGTTTCGGCGAGACATTGTATCTTCAGTCTTGTTCTCTCTCAGTCACATTTTGGCTCTTGGGATGCATCCCCTCTTGTGAAGCAAAGAACTGAATCCTGACAACAGCTTTATTGAGTGAACCTTCTTGAAAGTAGATCCTTCAGCCCTAGTTAGATTGTCAGATGACTGTAGCCTCAGCCAGCATCCAATCTAAACCTCATGAGGAACTCTGAAGAAGAATCACCCAGCTAAGCTGGGTCCCAAATTCCTTGCCCACAGAAACTGAAATAATGAATGTTTTTGTTTTAGCCACTAAATTTTGGCATAATTTGTTATGCAGCAATAGATAACTAATACTCCCATAATGCCATTATCCAGAGGTAAAATTAACATTTTGTCCTTTTAGATCTTTTTCTACAGAGAAAATGCATATATTTACATATACTTACATAAATATATAAAACATATACATTTACTCATTTAAACAAAAATTATGATTGTCACCTGCACATCACTATATGCAAGGTCTTCCTTTCATGGTAATATTTTAATGGTGGCATATACTGCAATAATATATTCTATTATTTACTTACCTGGTCTTTTTAATATTTAATTTTCTTATTTCTCACTATTGTAAGTGTTACAGAGATAAATAGCCTTGTAGCTACATTTTTATTATTTTTAATAGCTAAATTTGTTGATACTTTTGTTATAATTTCCAAAATTTTCAGTCAGAAAAGTTGTATCAATTTCCTTATGCTTTCTGCAACACTGGATATTATTCTTTTTCATCTTTTCTAATGAGCGTGGCATTAAAACGGTGTGTTTTATTCTACATTTCTTTGATTATGAATGAACTAAACATCTTTTTATGTTCATCTGCTATTCTTTAGTGAATTCCCTATTTAAGCCTCTTTGTTGTTGTGGGGTTGTTTGTTTGTTTGTTTGTTTGTGTGTGTGTGTTTCTTATTGAGATCTTTACAGTTTTGTAATGGCTTTCCTAAGAACTTATATCATATGTTAAGTATCTTAGTTGCTATATACTGCTACTTTCCCTAGTTTGGCATTTTAAAAATCTTTATATACTATGTATTTTGCTGTTTAATTCTTATAAATTTTTATGTACTCAAATCTGTCTTTTTCTTCAGAGTTGCTGTCTTTGATGTTAAAGTTTGAAAAGAACTCTCACAGATCAAGATGATAACAAATGCACTTATATTTCTTACTCTTGCTTTTTTTGGTTTTACTCTTTATGTTTATTTTTAAAGTTATAGGGGTCTAGGAAGTGCCCTTCTACTTGCTACATGGGATGCTGCCTGATTCATGATTGCTAATAAAGCCAATTAGATCTTCAAAAAACAAAAACTATAGGAATCTAATTTTTTCCAAATAGAATTTACTTGTCCAAGTAGTATCCTTGTTTAGTTTATGCCTAAGTGGTTATACATTTTGTTGTTATTGTAACTGGGATCTGTTTTCCCATCATCTTTTTTAACCTGTTATTGCTTTTTTACTTATTATTTTAATTAAGTTTATTGGGGTTACATTGGTTAATAAGATCATATAGGTTTCAAGTGTACATTTCTGTGATAAATGATCTATAATATATAATGCATTGTGTGCCCACCACCCAAAGTAAGGTAATCTTCATCACCATATACTTGGCTCCCTTTATACTATTCCCGCACCCCCCTTTGCTCTGGTAGCCACCATTCTGTTGTCTGTGTCTATGCGTTTTATATTCTACATGTTAGTGAACTCATATGCCTCTTAGCTTTTTCTTACTGACATTTCACTTAGCAGAATATATTCTCAAGGTCCATCCATGTTTTCGCAAATGGCATCCATCTTATGGCTGAGTAGTATTCCATTGTATGCATGAACCATATCTTCTTTATCCAATCATCTATTGAAGGACATTCGGCTGTTTCCATGTCTTGGCCACCATGAATAATGCTGCAATGAGATGCGTTTATCTTTGCAAATAAATGTTGTGAAATATTTGATTTAGTCCCATTCATTTATTTTTGCTTTTACTTCCCTTGCATTTGGGTTCAAATTCAAAAAATCTCCTCTTAAGATCAAGGTTCATAAGTTTAGTGCCTATGTTTTCTTCTATGTAATTTATTGTTTCAGATCTTATATTTAGGTCTTTTATGAATTTTGAATTAATATTTGTACATGGAGACAAACTGTAGTCTACATTCATTCTTTTGCTTGTGGCTTTTTCATTTTTCCAGTACCATTTGTTAATGAGGCTTTCTTTCCTCCTTTATAACAAATTGCACCAATAAACTAAACATCTTTTTATGTTTATTCACCATTTATTAGTATTCTCTAGGAATTCCCTATTCCAACCTCTTGGGGTTTTTTTCTTTATCAAGATCTTTACATTTTTGTAATGGCTTCTTTGTAAAAAATTATTTGCCCATATACATGTGGTTTTATTTCTGCTGCATTCCTATATACTAACTGTAGGGTCCCTTTGCCTGGCCTGCAGAGTTATGGGCCGAATCCACGCTCCAGGCCCCCGACACCCTCCAGGGGTCCCAGATGGCGCAGGGCCTCTAGTATATTTATAAAGTGTCCGAAAAGAATGTGTTGCACACTTAACAGCTGATAGCTCAATTGGTGTTTCTCTCTTTTCAGATTTAACTCATTGGAATTAATTATTCAAAGTGTATATACAATTTTTTTAGACACCCCATATGTGTGTGTGTGTGTGTGTGTGTGTGTGTGTGTGTGTGTATAAAATCTTTTCTGATACTCAGTAAATTTCTCTGGTGGAAAATCTTGTGCTTCAGAAAATTAGTTTTTTAAAGAAAATTTTTAGGGTAACTGATCAAGTTTTTTCATCTGATCAGTTACTTCTGACTGTAACTCCGAGTTGCACCATGATTTTAAACTTTATTTCTGTTCTTACATGCCTAGAGACACAAAGGGTTTCTATTAGACAGTGATTCTCATTGACGGTGAAATATGATGAGCAGGAGACACACCCTCATGAGGAATGGTCTTCTCTGGAGGTGACTCTGCTGCTGTTGTTGTTGAGGGTTGCATTTCATCTCTCTGTATTGGGCTCTTGTCACATGAGAAGAAAAATTGTTTCCTTGCTTGGGTAGCTTTGTCTGATCTATAGGTACTGTAGAGCTGCAGATCATTTTAACCCCTGTTTGAAAAGTTGTATGATTCCCAATTTAATTAATTGCTTGAGATGAAGCACAGGTGGCATTACACGTTGATGCATCTTTTCATAGTAAAGAAAGAACAAGAAAAACCAACCCTACCACGATATTGCAATATACACTAGATGTCCTTCTTCTGACCTTCATGCATGCATGCCTTTTCATTTTTTATAATTTTCTGCCCTCCACCCCCTCCTTATTTTAGAGAGAATTTCTTGAGCTGATACTCTATATGACATTCAGTCATCAGGTTTACTGCAGTCTTCATTGGGTGTTTTGTTTTGGAAATTGTATTTTTCTCCTCTAAGAATGTTCTTTTCACATTGCTCCTTTATTTTTTTTTATTTTTTTATGACAGCCTGTTTTTATCGATGTGGCCATCTCTTGAATCTCAATGAGATTCTTCTGTTTTTTTCCTGTTCTTGGCAACAGCTGTCTCCTAAGAGGCTGCTTGTCTTGAGCACACAGATTGATCCTCTCCTTTTAAATTGCTGAATATTTTTATATCCAATGATTATTCCTCTATTTGTTTATATGTTAGAAATGATGTTGCATTTGTTCTATAGCTGAAATGTTTCTTTCAGAAATTATATAGGCCTCTGTGCAGTTTTTGTTCTGGAGCAGTCTCCCTTCGGCGGCCCAAAGCCTGCTAGGGGGACAGCCCCCTCCAGTCAGCCTAACACATCTGTCAGCAGAGCGCCCCCCTCACTCAGAGGGCTTCCATGCCGGCTCAGCTCTGTGCCACCCCACAGGCTATGACATCAGAGACCCCAGCTGATGGGGATTTGTTCCCCTGCTTCTACCTCCAGCTCTTAACCAGGGCCGCCTGTCAAGCTTGTGTGTGTTGTGGTTTGGGGGGCAGGAAAGACAGGAGATCGGTTTGTGATTCACTCTGCTCTACATGCATTGCTCCTGCTGAAGCCTTCTGAAGGGCTGGGACCCCTTTTGGAATGTAGGGATGATAAAAGCCAAACTAGACCACTGGTGGTTATCTAACCTGGTTAGGATGTGCTGTAATTCACTGTGTATCAAGTACCCAGATTCTTTTTAGAAATGGTGTAGAGCCGTGGTGGGCAAACTGCGGCTCGTGAGCCACATGCGGCTCTTTGGCCCCTTGAGTCTGGCTCTCAAAAGAAATTTCAATCATTGTACTGTTAATATTTGGCTCTATGGACTAATGAGTTTGCCGACCACTGACATAGGTCCTCAGTTAATGGTGACTGAGTGAATTCAGATCTAGAATGCTTTGTGCAAAACTCACTTTTGCCCTGAGTCATGCTAGAGCTCAGGAAAGAATCCAGGGCTCTTGAGTGTCCCACACATGCCACCTGCATGTACCGAGTAAGTGGGCCCTTCATAAAGTCTGTGTGTGTGTGTGGGGGGGGGGGGGGGAGAGACAGATGGGAGAGGGGGGATTCTGTTTGGTTGGTGGTATTTTCAAGTCAAGTCATCACTTGCTTTTCTCTGGGTTGAAATTTTATAAAGAAATAGTTATAAAGGGAGGCAACAAAGTGTTACAATAGAAAACATTGTTTCCAAGTTGAGTTTTAGATGGTTGTTGACTATTAACTCCCCCTCAAACAGATTCCACAAACCCATCCATCAGTAAGTACTGCTCTAATTCTCTGTGGTCCTTCCTCTGCTCTTCTCAGGACATGTCATCTCCCTCTATCAGATTCTTGTCTAATAAAGTAGGAAAATCTCTTCTTTAATTATGTAGCATTGACTAAAGGAAACCTTTGTAATTGCTTCTCACATTGATTATTAAACCTGCTGGGGTGCTGGGAGAAGGTAAAAAACATGCCTTCTAGGAAATTCTCTCTCTCTCTCTCTCTCTCTCTCTCTCTCTCTCTCTCTCTCTCTCTCTCTCTCTTTTTTTTTTTTTTTTTTTTTTGTAATTTCTCTCCAGCCCTTCAGTACTCCAAATTCCACAAACTTGCTGGATTTGATGTACCGGGAGCCAGCAAGATGGTCCTACACATTCCAGACGTTTTCTTTTATGAGCCGCCTAAAAATACAGCTGGAGCCCTTCCCCGAGAAAGTCTTACGGGCCAAGAAAGGGGTCCAGATCTTTGAGAGGTCTGTGTACAGCGACAGGTAAGAGCCCCATACTCAGTGCCACATGTTTCTCTTCTTGCTCAGACTCTGCACCACTCTGGCCATTGAACATCGAACTTTCAAAAATCATTGTCTTTTTAAAGACAACACTTGATAGATTTGTTCAGACTTACAGTTCCACGGGGCTGTCATATACATATCAAGAGAGGAAATTTTATTTTTCATAAACTACACGCACTGAATTTCCCACATTGCCACTGATTATTTTTCCTATTCTTTTTTGGCTCAGAGGCCAGCTGGTAGATACCTAATAAAAACATTGCATTTGTTAAAAGGCACCAGACAGACAATTAAGAAGCAGTGTGGGAAACAAAAAAAGGAAGCAGTGTGTGCTCTAGGAAACCAAGCGAATCAGTGGTTGGTCATTACGTTGAAGAAGAAAGCAAGCAGAATTAAAAATGTGTGTTTCTAAAATGATGGGAGAGATATATGTATCCTTTTTTTATTCAAGGAAGGATATCTAAAAAGAAATAGCACAACTGTGAAATTGACGTCTGTTTTGGATTTATCCTTCTTTGACCCCTTGTCATGTGACAGGCCTTACAGTGCTGGCCGAGTCTATAATGGACCTACACTGCCCATGTCAGGTCATGGCCCTGACCACCTGAGGGAGTGAGATTTGGAGTCACTTTAATGACGGCCAGTAGCTAACGTGGGAACTCAGCTCACGTGTCCCAGAGGAGGCAGTCCGTCCAGGCTCCAGAGTTCCCGGCTGTGCCATGAGACCAGGCTGCAACTTAAGCCATTTGGAGACAAGGAGGGTGCCTTGATGTAGATACTGCTGTTTTACTTTGTTTTGTTTGGACCTGAGGCTCTGAATGGCTTGTGTTGATGTGCACTGGCGGTGTAAACTTGATAGTATCATGGTCTATCTTAAGCCCTTTGAGTTATCAGAATGGGAAATGCTGCAGTGGCATTGGCTAGTCACTTTTTTTTTTTTTTTTTTTTAATTTATTGATTTTTTTACAGAGAGGAAGAGAGAGGGATAGAGAGTTAGAAACATCGGTGAGAGAGAATCATTGATCAGCTGCCTCTTGCACAACCCCCACCGGGGATGTGCCTGCTACTAAGGTGCAAACCCTTGACCGGAATCGAACCTGGGACCTTTCAGTCAGCAGGCCGACGCTCTATCCATTGAGCCAAACCGATTTCGGCTCCAGTCACTTCCGAAGACACTGTCGGTGACCCTTTCATTCCAAGTTAGACAAACTAGTTCTACTTTCCAGAGCTCCGTAAAGCCTCCTGGAGGAAAAAATAAGAGCCTGTTTGCTAATAGGATGTGATTTGTTTTAATGTTGCCTAAAATCACACAAGACACGTAAAACAAATCCTGTGCACTACGCATTCCCTCTGTACTGCAAGGGAGAGCCTACTTTTTATAAAAGCTAAATTTGTGAATTACAAATGGTTGGGTCCTAGATTTTATGTGGGTTTTTTTTTTTGTTTTTTTTGTTTTGTTTTGTTTTCACCTGTTGGGTATACTGCTTTCTATTTTCCTCTCCCCTCTCTCAAGCCATGCCTCTTGGACTAGGAGGATGAGTTGCATAGAACCACCTAGGTTACTTGGAAATGTACTCACCATCATTTTTAGCCCTTTAGTGAGGTAGACATATGAGAGACACCTCAGAAATAGAAATACTCTGTTTAAAATAGATCCAGAAACATAGAAGCATGGAACAGACTGGAATCTCAGAGGGAAGGCAGGAGTGGGTGGGTAGGAAGAGATCAACCAAAAAACTTGTATGCATAACCCATGGCCATAGACAATAGGGTGGTGGAGGCCTGGGGACAGGCAATAAATGGTTGATGGGAGAAAAAGAAGGACATGTGTAATACTTTCAACAATAAAGATTTTTAAAAAATAAGTAAACATCCTAAAAAAGATAAAGAAATATTTTGTTTAGGAGCTACAAGATCTTACCGTTTACTTGGAAGAGATGAGAATTGATTGCACTGTAGGCAGCTACCACATCCTAGATGTTCTCTTCAGAAGGAGCATCTTTGAGACAAAAAAGATAACTAATTACACATGCTAGTCCTAATGGTAATTTAGAGCCTTTTCACTCTTAAACATTCATCCATGTGTGCAATCACACAGATTGTCACCTTGGGGCTGCATTAGGAAGCAAAACACAACCCCTCCCTGCCTTCACAGCGACCTTAGTCTGACACATGTGATGGGATGTTATGTGTGTTTCAAAGGAGGAACTCGGGTTGCTTGGGAGAGTGGCTGACGGGGAGGAAGAAATCGAGATCTTTTCTGTTGGAGTTATGAGAAACAGCAGCATGTGGTCTCAGAGCAGGTTCTTACGTTGATTCTTGGCAGCCCCTGCATGGAGCCTGCAGCAGTGCTCTCCGCTTAGCACTGAGCACCGGGCCCTTCTCCCCCATCAGGACTGGCTTTGGAGAAACAAAGCCGTGCGCATCCTCAGGAACGGGGAGGGCCCTTTTACAGGGCTTATTAACCGAAAATCAGTTCTTCTCCACAGATCTTAATTTCCGTGTTACCTGTGAAGAAGCTGAAAAGCTTTTTTCAGAAATTGAGTTACAGAAGTCACCCCTTTTTACCTTTAGTTCGGCTCTATCTAAAATTCCAGCTTGGAAGAGTTGACTTCTGGAGCTCTCAATTGGTTTCTTCATAGACTAGCAAAGAAGTAGTTACAATGATGGTTAAGATGCCTTGAATACTAGGTGTGAGTTAGGGTCTAAAAAGGCTCTAAATTACCACTAGGACTGGAATGTGTAATTAGTTATTTTTTAAAATATGATTTTAGAAATCACATTTGGTTTCAGAGAGGAAGAGAGAAGGAGCGAGGGACAGAAACATGAGCAATGAGCCGAAACCGGTTTGGCTCAGTGGATAGAGCGTTGGCCTGCGGACTGAAAGGTCCCAGGTTTGATTCCGGTCAACGGCATGTACCTTGGTTGCGGGCACATCCCCAGTGTGGGGTGTGCAGGAGGCAGCTGATCGATGTTTCTCTCTCATCGATGTTTCTAACTCTCCCTCTCCCTTCCTCTCTGAAAAAAAAATATTTTTAAAAAAAGAAAGAAAAAGAAACATGAGTGATGAGAGAGAATCATTCATCGGTTGCCCCCTGCACACCCCCACTAGGGATCAAGCCCACAATCTGGTCATGTATCCTGACCAGAAATCAAACCGTGACTTCCTCGTTCATGGGTCGACTCTCAACCACTGAGCCACACCAGCCAGGCCTCTATAGTTCTTTCTTTACACAAAGGAAGACACGGGCTGAGAGAGTCGAATGATGTGGCCACAGTGACACAGCTAGTGAATTTCTGGAGCTAGGATCAGACTCGGGAATGAGATTCTGCAGCCCATTCTCTTAATCACAACACACAACCATGCAGTGTATGCTTCCCCGAGCCATTCATACACAAGAATTCTTGAATTTCATTTTCTCAGAAGTGGCCAGTTGCTGAGCGTTGCCTTAGAAACTGCAGTTCATTGTTTGGGATGTAAATTGTGTTTTGTATCAAGATGCCTGAGATTTGAAAGCAGAATTGACCCTCTGAAGCCATGGTTTCTGGTTAGCTCTGATTTCCTATTTACCAGATGCTCCTTTAATAAGTAAGCCAGGGGCACAGCTAGTTGATTTTTAGCTTTAGCTTTCTTATATCTAAGAGGCTCAGCAGCAGATAAAGCGAAGAAAGAGCTCGTGTACTCTGGAGGAAAGTGCTTCCTTGGTGATCCCGCCGTTAGTAGGAAATGCATCTCCTGCTCCGTAGGTGATGCCGCCTCTGGAGATCCAGCCCCTTCTCCAAACAGCAGGCTGGCTCAGCAGCCTGGAGACGCAGAAGCCCTCAGTCTTTAAGTGACTTGTGGTGGGCGCTTTATGCTAGGTTGACTTTTGTTTGGGGGCTGCTGCAGTAATAATAAGGAAACCTCAAACGTTTGAGTGTACCCGCACCATTTGCCGTATGTTCTGACTGGTTTCCGGCAGGAAAAGTGGTTAGCGACCAGTGATAGATAAACTCTTCCAGGCCCTTCTGTGGATTCGTCTGGAGAGCTCTGTTTTGGGCCTCTAATGTCTAAGTGCTATTTTCCATCTTAGTGTTGAGCAGGAGGGGGATATATGTTAAAAATTCAGATTTCTTCAAAATTGAAAAGGGTTAAGTGGTTTGAACAGACGTGGAGCAAGTTGGTTATTGATTTTTCTGCTTCTTTCTCTCTTTTGCCTATTCCATTTCCCATTCTTCTCCCCTCCCACCACCCCACTTACATTCCCAACCAGGTATATCTTTGCAAAGAATCTGTTTGAAAATGGCTCCCTCAGTGACATGGAGTGGTACATCTACCAGGACTGGCATTCTTTCCTCCTGCAGGAGTTTGCCAGCCGGCTCCAGTTACACGGCTTCATCTACCTTCAGGCTGCCCCCCAGGTAAGGCAGATCCAAAGCCTTTGACTGAAAGGCCGTATGAAACTTCAGAGGCGATGTCCCCTGAGCCCCTGGTTTATTTCCCGGTTGGAGAAATCAGGCTGTGGGGGTCACCTGGAGCAGAGAGCGCGGCAGGTAAACCCCCTCCCATTCTAACGCCCAGCGCCCCATTTCCCACAGGCTACCTGCAGCCGAGGGCTGAAGCAACACACTGTAGAAAGGGCCGTTGATGTAGTAACAGCGTAGAGCAAGTGGGGCGTTATCTCTATCGCCCAGGGTTCACAGGTTGGACCCTCCGACCAGGTAACCTGTAGCCAATTGCCTCCACTTTTCCCTCCCTCTGGGTAGGTCTTGGTGGTTTTCTGAAAGGGATGTGGGGGGAGAGAGCACGGATTCCTCACCCTCTCCTGGTACTGCCCTGATCTATAGCCCCGTCTTGAGCCTTGAGGATACTGCCAGTAAGGCAGGATGGACTACAGAAGCTGCTTTCATGGTTCTCTGACGTGGGCCATGGAGCCAGCCTGGCACAGAACAGGGTAACGTCAGAGAGGGAGCACCAAAGTCTCTGGAGACAGCAGTGGTCCTTGGCCTCTGCTGACTGGCAGTGACCTTGGGCAGCCCCCGGACACCTTCCCCTGGAGGTTCTTGTCTCTTAAATCTCTAAGGGCTTTTCTGGAGTGGGATTCTGAATCAGACAGGAGGTTTGCTTTTAAAAAAATATATGTGTATTGATTTCAGAGAGGCAGGGAGAGAAAGAGCAGAAGAAACACCTATGATGAGAGAGTTCTCGGGGCAGGAGTATTTTTGAGATGTTGCTCTCAGCCTTGGAGGCATTTTTGTAACGTATGGTCAGGTTCCAGTCAGCCCACACAGTCTTAGGAGGGAAAGCTGTCTTCAGGGTGGAGGCCTTTCTTAGAGACAGGACTGGACGTGTGGACAGGAGGAGGCATGAGAGCAGGCTGAGTAAGGTCCGAAAACAGGTGGGAGAGCCCCATCGCACAGGCTCGCTGGAGTCAGAGAGGAGAGGACCGGGAAGAAGAAAAAGACCCACCTCGCAAAGTGGCAGCCAGAAAAGGCAAGGAGTGTGACGGGACCAGATCCTGGGGCCATTGTGTCAGGAGTTTCTGGAGATTGTGAGGCAGAAACTAGATCATGGAAGGAAATAAAGAGATTCCACAGAAATAATAGGGCCTACGGTTTAAAGTGAAACTGCACTAAAAATTCAGTGAGGCCACAAGGGGATAGAACCTTCAGTGAGAAGAAGCAAGCTGAAATTGCACTCATTGCTTGTTGACTGGCTGGAGAAGAGCCCATCTATGCGACTCTTCTCATACCGCATTGCCTGCGAGTGTTAATAGAAGAGGTGTGTTTGGAAGTGACTGTGCTTGGGTGGCGGACAGGGGGATTGGTGTCAGTGGTTAGAGGAGAAGAAGACCCCTGCCAAAGAGGGTGGCTTCAAATAGCCGAGAATGGGTTCTCGGTGGGAGGAAAGTCCTGGTCCCACGAGGGCTCGTGGCCAGGGCCAAGGAGGAGTGAGAGGCTGTGGACTTTGGACTGAGTGAGGATGGTGGGTGGAGTTTGAAGGGGTGACGGGTTTCCAGGAGGAGTCATAAGATGGCTGGCTGCAAGCAGCAGTGGGCTCTGGGGCTGAGCATGAGCAGGACAGTGCTGACCTCACCTTTTCCAAGAGAAACAACTTCCACACAATCAGCTCAGTGCCATGAAGACAATATTGTGACAAGGAAGCGGGTGGACTCACGCCGAGTGGACCAGCGGGTGGACTCACGCCCGAGTGGCTAGCTGCTGAGGCTTTGTTTCTGGGGAGTTGAGGTTGGCCTGGGACCCAGCAAAGCAAGAAAGGCTTGCTTCCTTCTTGTGCCCCCAGATGACTTTGTGGGACGGGGCAGTGATATGGACAGTGGTGGTGACCACTGTCAGGGTGGTGGCGTGGCTGATACAGCTTTTTGGAGAGGCTAATGGAGGTATTTCAGCTGGGGATGAATGAGGGGAGTTGAAAGATTATTGCAACCTAGTGGTAGAAAAAGAAAAATAGTTCCGTTTGTTTAGAGACTGGCTGGGGATTTTGGTGCTAATTTGAGGGCATTGGAGTCAGAGACCCAGGAATTCTGATAGCTTTTCCCTGAATCACCCTGACTCTCCTGTGAGATTAAGAAGTAACTATATCCAAGAGAAGAGCGGAACAGAGGTTAAAACTATATCCAAAGAGCTGCACAGTGATCAGTGTTCTGGTGCCGAGCCCTGTAACTAGGAGCTCAGAGCATGGGAGATGGATCTAAGAAGGGCCTTTCGCGCTTTCCCACCTTCCCCCCTACATGCCAAAAAGCAAGCCAACAATAAAATAAAACCCGCACACATTAGAAGAGAAGTGGCTGGGCCTCAGTGTCCCACCCAACCCCGTGGACTCAGGAAGAGTGCGGCCGGCCAGTGTGCCTCAAAGAGCCGGCCCGGCCTGACACTGTTTACATGGAGACGCGTGGCGAGGCTGGGAAGGGGACCCCTGCGTTTGGAAGCACAGTGGGCTGGGCACTAGCAGTCCCCATCAGTGTCTGCCTCTGCCTCCAGGCAGTGTAAGCAGCAGCTTCTCCGGGGGGGGGGGGGGGGGGGGGAGAGACATGGGGCAGATGGGCAGAAGGATCCCCCCCCTCCAAGCTCATTTGAATACACACTATCTTCCCCATTTACATTCAGGTGTGTCTTCCCCATGGGACCGAGGGGGAGAAGGACCAGACAGAAGCACTGTTTGTGCGAGATTTTTTAAGAAGAATTTTTGTAACCGTGTCAATAAAGCCAGAATTATGCCAAATGCTCAAAATATTTTACCTATATTCTTTAGGAAAGAGTTTGCTCTGTTAAGCAAATTGATAATCAAAAGGGAAATGTTAACCTTTAATAGGAGAGACCTTAGCATCAGTGTTTGCCTGCCAGCGATGAATGAGTAAATACAGCTTTTATGAAAATTGATCTGCCCTTGTGTATAATTGAAAACATAAAGTCACATTTTTAAAAAATATGCATTTCCATGAATTCTGATAACATTTTTCTCTCAGAGAGGAAACTTAGGGAGCTTTGCTATGTTTAGAAATCCTGAAGCTTACCTTGCTGGCGGGCATTTACGTGGTTAGCCTCTAAGGAGGCAGTTTGGCAGTGTATACTAGTAAGTACACATGCCTTTTGATTTGTTAATTATGCTCCTTGCAACTTACTCCATGAATAGACTCCCACATGGGCAAAATGTCTCATGTTCAAGGCAGCGTTGTTTGTAAAAGCAAGTTAATGGAAACAAAGTGAACAGAATATATAGTAGGACACCTTTTACATATAGATAGATATAGATATAGATATAGATATATATGTGTGTGTGTATATATATATATATTTAAAGATATATGTATATGGCTGAAACCAGTTTGGCTCAATGGATAGAGCGTCGGCTTGGGAACTAAAAGGTCCCGGGTTCGATTCCGGTCAAGGGCATGTACCTTGGTTGCGGGCATATCCCCAGTAGGGGGTGTGCAACAGGCAGCTGATCGATGACTCTCTCTCGTCGATGTTTCTAACTCTCTATCTCTCTCCCTTCCTCTCTGTACAAAATCAATAAAATATATTTTAAAAATAAATAAATAAAGATATATGTATATGTGTGTGTATGTATATATGGGGGTAAGAATGCATATGTGTACAATATTTCTGAAAGTATAAAAAAGCCTGTAACATTGGTTGTCAGTGCGCTGGAGAACTGTGTGGCTGGAAGTGGGGAGTAAAGCTGTGTGACTGGGGAGGAGGGGAATAAGGGGAAATGTCTTGAAGGTGGTGGCTGTAGGGTGGGGATGAAAGGGCAGAAAGATAAAAGGAAAAGAGGCAGGTTCAGAGTGAAGGAAAGTAGAAATGATAGAAGTAGGAGGAAAAGGTAAATGGATAGAGGGAGACTATGTCAGATATTAAAACATTAAGTGAACACATGCAGCAATTACTTATTGACCTCCTACTCTGCCGGGCCCAGGGCTCAGCCCTGAACAGGATGGACTCTGGCCTGCCTCCTGGGTCTCCCCTCCCCACCCCCATCACTGTGCCATTGGAGCGCCTTGTTCAGCCTCCCTGTCACCGATACAGCCAAGATGCCGCTGTGTTTGCGGGGCCGCGTGCAGCAGCCGGCTCTGTGGTGCACAGGGAGCTGGTGCCGGAGATAAGGGGGCGCCTGCTCCTTCCAGGAAACACCTGTCGGACGTTGGAGCCCAACTGCTCCCCCTTATCTGGCTGCTGCACCTCCACCTAGCCTCACAGTTGGGCACTTGAGTCCCTGTTTTGCATATTGTTTTCCTTATTATAAAACTACCTTATAGAATTCCTGCTACAGGACTTCATCTGAGTTTGGGACAATTACTGATCAGGGAAGAGGGGGAGAGCCTAAGTTCTACAAGTATTAACATGTTAGATCTGTCTCTGTTAATCAATTTGAAAAGTTGGACATTAGATTGTGAATTAGATCTGTGTATGTGACTTTGTCTCCTTAGAGCAAGCATGTCAAACTCACAGGCTCACACAGGCCAGATAAACAAGGTTTAAGCTTATGTGGGCTGCAAAAGAGCAAAAGCTTCAATTTTCAAAATAAACGTAGGTTTATTTTGTTAGAGGCATGCTGAATACAAAGGGCTGAAATAAATGAGTAATCGTGGACATAAAATAATAAAAATTAATTTTTTTTTCTTGAACATTAACTTACCAGACACTGAATACTTGCACAAAGTAATAAGTATAACTCAAATAAACCTATTTTTCTTATTCTATGAGAGCAAAATATTTCCTGGTGCACACACCCTACTAGTCAATACAAGACTAATGACGAGGCAGTCGGCTGCTAAAATATTCGCTGCTGGTATTATTGGAGAGAAATGGTGCGCCTGCACGTAAGGCAAATGAATGCAACATGATTATTGTGATCAGTCATCAGTGAACGCTGTAGTCCGTTGTTAATAATCACGTGTAACAGGATGTTGTAAAAATTAAGACAGGAAATTTTCATTAAAACGTTTCTTACACACCGTTGTATTGCCTGGGCCACAGAAAGTGTTAGTTTGGGCCGCAAGCTTGCCATGCTTGCCTTAGGGGGACAACAGGACAAAAGGGAGACAGCAAAGACTACTTCTTTGGGAATGTTGTGCTCTGTGTCTGGGGATAGAGTTTACATTTGGGGATAGGTTTTTTTTTTTAAGTGTTTAGAAGAGAGCAGTCCTGAATCCGTGGGTTAATCCACCTGTCCTTCCAGGACAGATGACACTGAACGATGAAATGTTTGCCAGGCAGAGAGGAAAGAAGGCAGTTTAGGCAAAGCAGACATTTGGAGCAGAAGCGTGGAGGTGTGAAAGAGCGAGGTCTGCCTGCAGGCAGGAGTGCAGCTCTGGCTGAAGCAGTGAGTCCAGGAGAGGAGCTGAGGAGGGTGAGAGTGGAACTATAGGGGAGGTGCCCAGACTCCAGGAATGGCCTTGTGACAGGTAAAGGAGGTGACATTCTCTGAGCCATTGTGCTTCAAACTTTTTTCCCATGTGAGAGCAGAATGGAAATAGCACACTCTGGAAGGAGGGAGGGAAGGAGAGTTAGTCCCAAACCCTTACCCCGCCCCCCCCCCTTTTGTGTGTGTGTGTGTGTATGTGTGTGTGTGTTTTGTTTTTGTTTGTTGTTTTTTTTGCTTCTTATCTGACCTATGCAGATTTTGCATTCTGCTGCAGTGAGTGTTTGTTATTTATAAGAGATGTTTCTGATTACTTATTCTTTCATAAATATGATGCTACTCACTCCTACTTGAACTCAGGGTTAGTGGCTGTAGGTAGGCAGTGAGGAGCCTGTGAAGAGTTTTAGGCAAGGAGGGGAAGCCATTATTTTGGAGGCCTGTAGAAGAGAGGACTGAGCGACAGACTAGGAGGAAAGAACAGCTTTGACGAGGAGTGTGGCATGCTTACCTGGGTGACTCCTCACAGCAACTTGTGGGAGAGGGGAGGTGAGGAGATGGAAGCCCACAAAGATTGCACTGCTAGTGCATGTGGAGGCAGGAACGTTATCCTGGACTTTCTGACATTAAGGCTGGGCCCTTCCCAGGCACTTCACCGTCTCTAGGAGGCAGAGAGCCAGCAGGCTCTTGTAGTTCAGGTAAGAGGTGATGAGGACCGGACGAAGGTAAAGGAGAGAGGGTAGAAGCAAGGAGAGAAGGATGAGGACCCGACGAGGGTAGAAGCAAGGAGAGAATGAACTAAAGAGAGATTAAAGAGCATGCAGTGACTTCCTGGATGTGGTTGGGAGGAGGAAAAAGAAAAGGGATTCCAGATTCATGAGTGGGTAATGTTTGCCCTTAACCTGTGATTGAATGAGAGAACAAGGCCTCAGGAGGGAGGCCTTGGCTTACAGTGCCTGTGATAGAAAGCTTGAGTGGGTCCGAGAGTCCCCCAAGACTGCATTGTAACAGCCCAGAAAACAAAAGAGCTCAGCGGGGCCCGGGATCATTACCTTTCAGGTTTGTTTGAAGAGACTGCACCGGAGGGCCAGGGAAGAAGAGAGAGGAATTGAGCTGGAGTATCTTGAGCAGCTTCATGGTCAACACGAGGCCTGGCTTGTTCACAAGACCACCAAGTAAGTGGAGGAGAGAGCAGCAGACAGCCTGCCTCTCCACTGTCAGCCCTTCAGATACAGGTTCAACAGGCAGCTTCATGGGGAGGTTCAGGACGTCCGGGAAGTGGCTGGAAATGTCTAGCATTCTCCAACTCAGAAATTTAATATTGGGTGTAATCTGTCTGTTCCAAGAGATTTTATTAGATCCTATTTCCCCAGCTTTCTATTTTTTTAAAGTTCCACTGGGTTGAACATGGTGATTGGTGGTGATGATGTAGCTGGCTCAGGTGAAGGGCTAAAATATTGTAGAGAAATTAAGTTGACATTCCTAGTTTTGGCCTTTCCTCCTTTCAAGTGTGGTATGCTGTCCACTTAAAATGTTTGGGGCTCTCAAGAATAAAAAGAAATGTCAGCCTTTGTCTTTCCAGCTAAGTTTATTGAATTTTTTAATGACTAAATGATATTTCTTTTCTTTTTATCCTCACCCAATGGTATTTTTATTGATTTTAGAGAGTGAGGAAGGGAGGGAAACATTAATGTGAGAAAAAAACATTGATTGGTTGCCTCCCTATATACTCTGACCAGAGACCGAACCCACAACCTAGATATGTGCCCTGACCAAGAATTGAATTGAACCGACAACCTTTTGGTATACGAGATGATGCTCCAAACAATTGAGCCACCTTGCAAGGGCTAAATTTTGTGTGTGTGTGTGTGTGTGTGTGTGTGTGTGTGTGTGTGTGTATGTTTATCAACTTTTTTAGAGAAAAAGGAAGGGAGACGAAGGGACAGAGGGAGGAGGTGTGGATGGAAGAAAAGAGGGAGAGAGAAAGAGAGAGAGAGAAAGCCATCAATGTATGAGAGAAACATCAGTCAACTGCTTCCTGAATGTCCCCTACTGGGGATTAAGCCCACAATTCAGGCATGTGCCCTGACTGGAAATTGTACCAGAGACCTTTTGGTGCATGGGACAATGCTCAGTCAACTGAGCCACACTGGCCAGGACTAAATTATGTTTCCTTGGGTGACAGAATTTTTTTTGCATCCTGGTAACAATTTAAAACATATTAATTGGTTTATTCATTCATTTATTTATTTTACTATTTATTGAACTTATTGGGTTGGCATTAGTTAATATATTTATATTAGAGACCCAGTGCATGGGTGGAGTCAGGCTGGCACATCGGGGCCAGGCCTAGCCCGCCCCATCAGACTGATCAGGGCTGGGCTGGCTGCGGAGAGGGGCTGTGGGTGGTGGGGAGATCAGCCCTCCTCAGATTGGGGTGGGGAGGCTGATCAGGGGCCAACGGCCTAGGGGAGGAGCCATGAGTGGTTGGCTGGCCGGCCCTGTCCCTGATTGGCGGAGGGAGGGGGGGGGATTATTGGGGGCTGACTGGGGGAAGGAGCTGTGGGCTGATTGGGGTGATAAGGGCCGACTGTGGGAAGGAGCCATGGGAGGTAGGCAGACCTCCCCCCCACTACCACCAATCTGGCCAGTTCGCTGGCCTCAGTGGGCATCGTAGCAACCAGATGTTGTAATTGTTACAACGTTCTGTGTTTTATATATATAGATAGGTTTCAGGCGTACAATTCTATAATACATCATCTGTATATCATATTGTGTGTTCACCACCCCAAGTCAAGGCTCCTTCCGTCATCATTTATCCTGCTTATATCCTCTTCTACCTTCCCTAACCCCTCTTTCCCTCTGGTAATCACCATACTGTTGTCTGGTCTGAGGTTTTTATTTATTTGTTTGTTTTGCTTAATCCCTTCACATATTTCACCCAGCCCCATATAAATTGTTTTTTAAAAATATATTTTTTTATTGTTGATAGTATTACAGATATCTCCCATCCCTCCCTTAACTCTTTCTTTCCACCTCTATCCAGCCCTCTTCCCTCCTCCACCCTGGGCTTCACCACCCTATTGCCTGTGTCCATGGATTATGCATATCTCTCTCTCTCTCTCTCTCTCTCTCTCTCTCTCTCTATATATATATATATATATATATATATATATATATATATATATATATATAAAAGAGAGAGAGAGAAAGCCATCAATGATATATATATATATATATAGATAGATAGATAGATAGATAGATGATAGATAGATAGATAGATAGATAGATAGATAGATATAAAAGCCTTTTATATATCTATATATATAAAAGCCAAACCGTTATGATTGGTTCACTGCTCGACTGGTTGACCAGTCCTTATGACATGCAGTGACCATTGGGGAGGCAGACTCTCAACACAGGAGCTGCCCCCTGGTGGTCATAGTGCCCCGACAGCCAACCTCCTGTGTTTCCCTCCCTCCCCCCTTCTCCGGGCTCCATCGCCTTCAGTCGGCTCCAGTGGGCCCCAGTCACCCCGATGAGGACTGGGCAAGATGGCCCTGATCTCTGTCCAGGCCAAGGGTCCCAACCTGTGCACAAATTCATGCACCAGGCCCATAAGGTCTTTGGGTTATCTCTTCTTGTCCCCCTAAGCCCACATGGAGGTATGTTCCATGCCTCCACGTGAATTGTTTTAAAACTGCTGTTTACATGCCACTTCATTGAGGAGCCATGTGACTTTAGATAAGTCCCCTGAATTATTAAGAGGATCTGAAGCTTGGCTCAGCTTCCTTTTTTCTGTTCCCTAAATGCTCATGCTCCATACAGGCTCCACTCAGAGACTCTGCTGAACATCCCAGTGCTGGTGTTAGATGTCAATGATGATTTTTCTGAAGATGCAACCAAACAAGAAGAATTTATGAAAAAGGTGGGAACTGCTTTCTAATGGTTTTCCTTTAGTATGTTTCTAATGTGTTTTTTTTTTAGTATGTTTATTGATTTTTAGCGCGAGGAAGGGAAAGGGATAGATAGATAGAAACATCAATGAGAGAGAAACATCGTCAGTTGACTGCCTCATGCGTGCCCCTACTGGGGATCAAGCCTGCAACCAGGGCATGTGCTCTGACTGGGAATGGAACCAGTGACCTTTGGTGAATGGGTCGACACTCAACCACTGAGCCGCACCAGCCGGGTCCCTTTATTGCACTTTTTCTATTTACTTCAGACCTTGATGTAATAGGTCTTGTGCTTTATGCCTCAACCTGCATTGCACATTCCAAAGTTTGTGGAGCCTTGTACAAGTTACAAATATAATCCTGATTTTCTAAAATATTTTGGGCTAATTGTTAAATAATTGACTTGCAATACATGCTTCCCAACTAACTTCCTCCTCTCGGGTATTGAAGACTTCTCAATTCTGTTCCCGGCTCTGTCACTTGATATCGTGTGGCTTTGGGCAGGTCACATTTCCTCTCTTCCCTTCTTCAGAAAAACTCATGGGCTTAGCCACCTCTGCATTGTGGATGGACTATTGTATGGTCTGCTGAAATGTGAAACTGAACTTTGGGTTTCCTCTTTCCCAATACAGATAAACACCTTTGTAAATACTTTGTAACCAGTGTAGAATGTTGTGGCTGTGAAGTGGGCTTCTTGGACTTTCTGAAGCTAGAAGAACACAGAGTCAGTGACCTCTCCATCCACCCCCATCGCCTTTTGCTCCAGTGCTCTGACACTCCACTGTGGTTTCTGTTATCTAAGACTTTTGCCATGGTCTTCTTTTGTATCTCAAAGTCTTCTAAAATAAAGTTTATTTAAGTTTTGTTTATGCTGCTAATCCCATTGTCATTTATTTCAGCATGTGTCTGTTGGTGCCTGCTCTGAACTCCCCTCCAAACTAGCCATTTTCACCTGGGAAAAGTCTTAGCTTTTTTTCTTGAATCCTTCACCAACCAGACATTCCAGGGCAGGAATTGCTCCCAGGACCCTAACCAGGCCCTGCCAGGGGCACGAAGAAGGGCAGTAAGTGGCTCAGGAGGGGTGGGTGCTCAGGTGTGAGGCCCCAGAGCCAGGAAGTGGAGCCCGAACTCAGGAAGCCCCCTTCTCTCTTCCCATCCAGCACTTGGTGTGGAGAATGGGGTGGAGGTTCAGACCTTGGTCCTGGAGTTGAAGAATGTGACAAAAGAAAGAGAGGGAGGCGGGGAGAGAACAAATCAGGAGCCCACAAGCTCAGCGTCTAATACTGAGGGTTTGGGCATCCTGTCATTGTGGCCTGCTCCACACACCTTACCCACTGAACTGCAGGCGACCTTAACGGAGGGACCTGTCTATCCTTTCCAGCATAGACAGGTCCCTGAGCTTCAAGGACAAGTTATTGTTAAGAGAGAAAAGTACATGGCTTGATAACATCAAAATCCTCCATTGCAAGAAGCCTGCAGGTCCATGAGTCACCGAGAGCAGAGTTCCTGCCCCGAGCCCTTGACAGCCGTGCAGGCACACACGCAGAGAAACGAGTGCGTCTGGACTCCGACTGTCCAGGAAGTCAGAAACCCACTCTCCTTCATGCTTGGGAAATGAGTGTGGGATTGGGTTCTAACAAACGTGATGTTTTGAAAAAGCAGCACAGCATTTCTTAATTCTACTTAAAAATGTTTTCAGCTTTATTGAGGTATAATTCACATACCATATATAAGGCACCCATGTAAAGTGAATAGTCAGTGGTTTTTAGTGTAGTCATAAGGTTGTGCAACCATCACCACAATCAGTTCCGAAGTGTTTCATCAGCCCAGAAAGAAGTGCCATGACAATTAGTCACTCACTCCCCACCTCCCACCCCCAACACCCCCAGTCAGCCCAGTCCTGCCCCGGGCAGCCCCATCTTTTTTTGTCTCAGTAGATGTACCTATTCTTGACATTTCATGTAAATGGAATCCTATTATAGGTGGCCTTTTGTGACTGGCTTCTTTTATTTTTATTCTTGTATTAATTTTTGTGTATGTTTTAATGGAGGAATTCAAGTGCATTCTTTTGCGTGTGCAAGTCTAGTTTACTTGTCCCAACACCATTTTTAGGAAGATTAATCTTCTCTCCCATGGAGTTACCCTGTTAGAAGTCTGTCCCACTGGTTCTTGTGTTTGTTCTCTGCTTCAGGCTTTGGACAAGACCAGGAATTAATCCAGGTGTTAGGTGTGTTTTGGAAACTCATTGGTCTTGATCCTTTAGCTTTTAGGGTCCTTGGCTTTAATTCCTATTTATGCTTCTAGGAACCAATAATGTAGAAATCACCCGTAAACCCAGCCCTCACCCTTCAATTCATTCAATCAACAGGTATAGGTGTCTGCCAAGTGCTACAGAGCAAGGAGATAGCAGTGGACACCACAGAGGGAGATTGTGTCTTTACCTCACAGGACTTGTATCTAATGGAGAAGGTGATAGACACTGAACAAATAATTGCAGGTGTGGTGAGTGCTTCACAAGGAAAAACAGGTGTCATATGGAGGCCCGTAACAGAAGGGGCCAACAAGCTGGGACAGCCCCCTGGCGACAGTGCTGAATTCTGAAGAATGAATGGAGTAGAGTCTTCAGGCAGAGAAAAAAAGGCATGTGCCCAAGTCTTTCTGTGAGAATGAGACGTTAGGACCAGACTGTCAAAACCAGATGAGGTTAGTGAGTTTAGTAAGAACATACTTCTCTCCACATTCTTCACTTAGCCTTAAAGCATGAAAATACACAAACCCAGTGTTTATCTCCATTGGTGAACATAAATGTTCTCTCAGCAGTCTCACCTGGGTGAACTGATTTGCCATTTTCTAAACGGGTAGCTGAGATGGTCTGGAAAGAGTAAATACTTCGATGAGGAGCAGTAGCTTGGGACTGTAAGTCTCAGGGGAAGGATGGGTGTGGGAGAAGTGCTGAAATGGTGACCAGAACTGCACTATCAGGCTAGTCTGGGCGGTCCTCCAGAGTCAGATAACTTGAATTAACAGATAAAAATAGCTACGTCTCCTTCTGGCTTAGGACGTGCTAAAACCTGCCATTCTGGAACTAGACTATTACCTTGAAGGGTTGATAGCAATTACCTTGAAGGGTTTATAGCATGGACTGAGGTTGTGAAAGTTCTCAAACTCAGGCTTTCAACGTGAAGGGAGAAAGTGATAGTTCAGGTGAAAGAGGCTGTCATATGCAAATACTAGACTCGCAGGGAAAAGGAAGCAAGAAATAACATGCTTTAAATTCCAAAGACCAGTTCAGCCCTTCAGCCCTCCCTCTAAAGAGTAGGCGGTTTAAGTCTCCGGACTACTCTCCCTCGCAGCGTGCTCCTTGTTGGTCTCTTCCGGCTGCCTCGCTGCTTGGTGGCCCTTTCTGTCTCCTCGGCTGACTCATCCTCCGAGTGTTGATGGCCCCAGGTACCCTTGACTCACTTTTTTCCTCACTCCTCTGGGCCATCTTGCATTCATCTGCTGCTGCCATACCAAATGGCCACCAACATGGCTAAACGCAGCACAGACGTGTCCCCTCGCCGTTCCACAGGTCAGCATTCACTGGGCTAAAAACCAGTCACCAACACGGCTGCCTTCTTCTCTGGAGGCTCCTGAGGGGAATGCTTCCTTACCGTTTTCACCTCCAGAAGGCTGCCCACAGGCCTGGGCTTGCAACCCCTCCCTCCATCTTCAAAGCCAGCAGCTCGGCACCTCTGACTCTTCTTCCACAGTCACATCTGTCTGTCTGACACAGCCAGGAAAGGTCCTCTGCTTTCAAGGGTCCACATGATGACACTGTACTCACCTGGATGAGCCGCAATACTCACCCAGGTCTTCAGCCTTCGTGCACCTGCAGAGCCCCTTTGCTAGTGACGAACATTCCCAGGGGCCAGGAAGGAGGGTGTGCCTGTCTTTGGGGGCTGCTGTTCTGCCTTCCACAGATCTCCAACGCTGACGTCGCTGGTGCTATTGTCATGGGGTGCGGGCTTTTGCAAAACTTGGAAATGTCACGGAAAATGAATCATTTGCAATAGCGGAGGGAATAGTACAAAGACCTCCTGAATCCTCATTACCCATGTCCTGGCCCGAGCAGCCTAAGACCATAGGAACAAACCTGCAGTCTGACAAAATCAGACTTATTAACTCATCGCCACAAAGGAGACCACACACAAAGGAACTGCGGGGGGCGTCTTACCAAACAGGCAGAGAGCAAGTCACAGGGTTTGGGGGAAGGATGGAGTTTAGGTAAAATTTAAACACAGCCGTGTTTTCGTAGGCCCCGAGCACAGCAGGAGTCAACATCTGGGCTGACCCGCGCCAGCAGACCCGGGTCATCTTCAAAAGCGCAAAGTGAAGACGAACTGGGACATTGTGTTCAGACGCCCCCCCTAGCCGGGGCTCTGAAGCCGGGTTGCACATCAAGGCTGCTTCTCCGTGTTAAAGTGACTTAGATCCTCCTGGCAGCAGAGGGGAGTTTCATTTTTGCTGATAAAATTTCAAACAGCCGAGTTTCTGATCGTGTCACGTCAGAGAACAGGGTTTCTCAGGGAGTCAGAAAGCAGCAGTCACGCAAGGAAGGGGATGGTTCTGACACTCCAGCTGCAGCTGCCCTGGGGGAGAATATTGTTTCATGGGAGCTTTGAACCTATGTCTGTCCTCCCAGCCCCATGAATGTCAGCGTGTTTTTCCCTCGTCTGAGCTAATTTTGCTTTCTCCACCCACTCTGGTGATCACTCATAGCCAATTTTGTCTCACCTATAGCCTACCCGCTGTTCTCAGAATCTCTTGAAGCAAATCCCAGACAGGAAGTGTTTTTTAAAGCTAGAGCCATGTGGACCTGTGGCTGTCGTCACCCGGACATCCCTTATGCTCACTGCGTACGGAACAGCGTTCTCATCCCACCTCCACCTGAGCCAACACAGCCTGCTTCTCCTGCTTCTGCTTCTTCTCCTGCTTCTGCTTCTTCTGCTTCTGCTTGCCCACTTGATCCCATCAGAAGCCTGGGAGTCATCATTGCCCCTCCAACTCTCTTCTCATTCCCTGTCTCACCAAATTCTGCCTGCTCATCGCTGCAGTCCTCAAATCACTGCTCTGTTTCTCTAGACCCGTGGTCGGCAAACTGTGGCTTTGGAGCCACATGCGGCTCTTTGGCCCCTTGAGTATGGCTCTTTCACAAAATACCACGGCCCGGGCGAGTCTATTTTGAAGAAGTAGCATTAGAAGAAGTTTAAGTTTAGCTCTAACCGGTTTGGCTCAGTGGATAGAGTGCTGGCCTGCGGACCCAAAGGTCCCAGGTTCAATTCCGGTCAAGGGCATTTACCTTGGTTGCAGGCACATACCCAGTAGGGAGTGTGCTGGAGGCAGCTGATGGATGTTTCTCTCTCATCGATGTTTCTAGCTCTCTATCTTTCTCCCTTTCTCTCTATAAAGAATCAATTATATATATATATATATATATATATATATATATATATATATATTTATATATATATATATATTTTTTTTTTTAAGAAGTTTAAGTTTAAAAAATTTGGCTCTCAAAAGAAATTGCAATCGCTGTACTGTTGATATTTGGCTCTGTTGATTAATGAGTTTGCCGACCACTGCTCTAGTTGAAGTTGCCCAATTCCCACCTTTC